AGGACCTCACGTGCCTCTGCCTGGTGGTCTTCATGTTCTCTCAATCCTCACAGCAACCATATGAGGTTCATGTTAGAACCCCATTTTATGGAGAAGGAAACTGAGGCTCAGAGGAATAAAGAATTGCCTGTAGCCAGCTAGTGATGGAGGCAGAATTCTCACCTGGTCTAACTCCAAAGCTTGTGCTCTTAATAGCTACTTAATCTAGAGATTTGACACTGACAGTCCATGTGTGAGTGTATATGTGCGTGAGAGATGGCGTGTGTAGACTTCCCAGTCTCTGGACATGTGTGTATATTTACAGGGGTGATGGGAGGAGGAGGGGAGTGATCAAAGCCATCTGTCTTCTCATATTTTTTTGTAATTTAAGAAAGAGAAATGTGGCTGGGTGCGGTGGCTCACGCCTATAATGCCAGCACTTTGGGAGGCGGAGGCAGGCGGATCACCTGAGATCAGGAGTTCAAGACCAGCCTGGCCAACATGGTGAAAACCAGTCTCTACAAAAATACAAAAATTAGCTGGGCATGATGACAGGTGCCTGCAATCCCAGCTACTTGGGAGGCTGAGGCGGGAGAATTGCTTGAACCCGGGAGGTGGAGGTTGCACTGAGCTGAGATCATGCCATTGTACTCCAAGGAAGGAAGGAAGGAAGGAAGGAAGGAAGGAAGGAAGGAAGGAAGGAAGGAAGGAAGGAAGGAAGGAAGGAAGGAAGGAAGGAAGGAAGGAAGGAAGGAAAGGGTAGGGAATGAAGAGCAAAGAAGGGAAGTCACAGAAACAAACCCCCTCCTATACAAACACTGATTATTTTTGGATTATGGGCTGAATGATTAACTTTTATAACGTTTTCTTGTATAATTTGTTATTATTATTTTGTAGTTTAGGTTAGCAGATGAGCAGCTGTTCACAGTTCTTCAGCAGCTCTTTGTCCTTTGAGCTCCAGAGGCTCTTCCCCACCTGGGAGAGTCCCAAGCCCCACAAAGATGGAAAATCTCTCACTGCAGGGGGTCCCTCCTCCTCCTCCTCCTTCTCCTCTTCTGGTCTGACTTTGACTTCACCTTCTACCTCATCCTTCCCAGTCTCTGGACACATGGCAACCCACCTACCTCCTCTCTCTCCATATTCCTCTGCCTTAGATTTCCAGGAGTACACCTGTGAGGGGTCTCCCCTCACCATCCTGCTAGCCATCTGCATTATACCCCACTTCTCTGAACTCTCCAGAAAGAGCAAAGACTTTGCAGTCAACCAGGGTGGCATGGATTTAACTGCCATTTACTAGCTCTGTGACCCTGGGCAAGCTTCATTCCTTGCCCCAGTTCAGCCAGCACTCAAGCCCCTCTGCTTTGCAGGCTCCACCACGGGGCCTTTGCACGCACCTATTGCCCCTGCTGGGTGTGTCCCCACTCATTCCCGCCTGGGAACTCCTGCTGAAGGGGAGTGTTCCCTCTCTGACTCAGTCACTCCCACTCTATCCACAGGGCCCAGACTTTCCAGGTCCCTGTTGATACCAAGCTTCGGTCCCCATATCCCCAGAGTGTACTTTCACTGTCAGCCCCTGGGGCCCTGTTTTGGGTTCAGAAAGTGTGACCTCTGGGTGTACAGTACTTAGAGATAACTGCCAATGACACAGGCCTGTGATGAATGCCTGTGTTCTCAGCCAGCAGTAGACATGTCTCTGATTTTTCCCTTTGGCTCCTACTCCCAGAAGAGGGGCTCAGGTAAGCATAGTTAATGAAGAAGCAAATGTTTGCTTCTCCTTTTGTTCAAGGGCCTCTTAAAGGCAGGGACTTCTTAAAAACAGAGTCTGGCACACAGTAGGTATTCAATAAATGTTAAAATGCTCAATAAATACCTCTCAGACATGCACAGAATTTTCCAGTTTATGGGCATTTTCACTCCCATCGTTTGTTGCATAATACCAATAAAACTGGAGCTGATCAATGCTTATGAAGCGGGAACTCAGGCAAGTGACAAGAGATGACAAGGGACTTGTCCACAGCCACATAGCAAAATAATAACAGAACTAGGTGCTCAGAACCAAACCTCTGGACTCTAAAATGATGCAACCATCATTAGTGTCATCCTGTCTGTAACTATTTCTTGAGCACCTACTCTGTGCCAGGTGCTTCAGAAGCATGTCATCTAATCCTCAGATGATAAATGGGGTCTCCAAATCCCAAACTCTCTCTGGAGGTTTGTGTAGGGGGCTGACCACAGCTGCTCTATGCAGAACTGTGGGGCAGCTGCTGGGCCACGCCCCAGGACACAGCATAGAGCTGGCAGCCACACCCCCGTGAAGCAATAGGCTCCCTCCCTGGAGTGCTGGGCATCCTGCTTTCCTGCTTAGCACTTTCTCATCTGGATGTTCACTCACTGGGGAGTCCCCACTGTAGCCATGTTCCCAGAGAGGGAAGAGCCAGCCTCTGTTTGATAGCTACCCCGGAATCACTGCTTTCCTGCTCACCTCCTCCAGGAAGACTTCCCCCAGTGAATGGCCTCCTAAGAGCAGGAAAGTGCCTCAAAGACCATGTAGCCCCTGCTTCCTGCACCCATTTTACAGATGAAGAAACCAAAGCCCGGGGAGGAGAAGGCCCCACTGTGGGTAGTGTTGCAGCTGAGACAAGAACCTAGGCCTCCTGGCTCCTAGCCCAGGGCTCTTCAGGCCCCTCTCTGCTGCCATGACCGGCTGCCATGACCACACTCAACACATCAATGTTGGCTGTGCCTTCCACGGAGGGTAGCCTGGCATTCAGGGCCACAGGCTCAGGATTGAAACAAGAGACCTGGGTTCTTGTTGACCTCATGCAATCAGTGGTCATGTCTACACTCAGCTTAAGAGCAGAGGAAGCTCTCCCAGCCAGGGAGAGGGAGGGGTCGTCTGTGACCCTGCTCATCCCTGTGCAGGCTCTTTCTAGGTGCTTTACAAATATTAACTGTTAATTATGACATCAACCAAGTGAAGGATGTCCCTATTTTACAGATGACAAAGCCTATGACATATGTAACATTACTATCTCCATCTTACAGAGAAGGAAAAGGAGATTGGTGGTGCTAAGCACTGATTTGAAGTGAGTGAGCATGGGGGAGCTGGAATTTGGACCCAGTCCATCTGACTCAGAGTCAACTCTCTTAACCCCTACCCTGCATGCTGTCCTTAAGTCAGGTCCATGCCCTCCAACCTGTAATTTCTGAGGTCTTGACTCTCACATCTTCTCTTACAGAAGCCATGAACATTCATGGAAAAGGCACTGAGGGGAGTGTGTGGAGCCTTTGTGAAGGGAGTTGTGTTACCCATGTGTGAAGGCTTGTTATTTACATATCACAAATCTAAAATATTATAAAACATAATTGTTAGCAGCTCAACCCTGTCTGTGCTGTGCCTTTGTGGAACCCCTCTGAACCGTGGTTTCCTATTCTGTAAAAGAGAATAATGCTCTACCACATCATTTGTTTGTCATTCAGTACAGGCTGCCTCCGAGATAGCCCCAGTGATCCCCACTTCCAGGTATTCGTGTCTTTGTGTAATCCTCCCCTTTGAGTGTGGGCTGAACCTGTGACTTGCTTCTAATGAGCAGAAAATAGCAAAAGTGGTGAAATGTCCATGTGGCAAGGAAAAGAGGGAAGCCATTGGCAGGAGCCAGTGAGGAACTGAATCCTGCCAACAGCATGTGAGTGAGCTTGGAAGAAGATCCCCCTAGTCAGGCAAGCCTTCAGATGAGACCACAGCCCAAGGGCACTGAGTGAAGCCATGCCTGGATTCCTGACTCACAAAAACTGGGCCATAATATATACTTAATATTTTAAATTGCTAAATTTTGGGAGTATTTGTTATGCAGCAGTAGATAATATACCTAGTATTTGCCTGTTGAGTGCTAGGCCCTATGCTGCACATATATCCATTCATTTATTAGATACATTTATTGAGTGCTACTGTGTGCCAGGTGCTGTGCCGGTGTGTATTGGGTTTACAGTGGTAAACCAGACAGACATTGTCCTCACTCTCAGAGACTTCACAGTTGAGCTGGAGGCTGGGAAACGGACAGTGTGAGCAGTGCTATGGGAGCCCAGAGGAAACGCTGACCCAGCCTGAGGAGTTAGTGGAGGCTTCCTAGAGGAGGGGATGTCTGAGACCAACCCGAGACTAAAGACAACCTTCTAGGCAAAGGTGGAGCCAAAGGGCACCCCAGGAAGAGGCTGAGAAAGGGACAAGGTGAGCTGTAAGGAGATCTGGCCCATGGAGGAACAAGGGGAAGTAGAGTGTGGCAAAGTGACACACAGTGGCTTGGAAGGGGGAACGTGGCAGAGGAAGGACAGAGAGGTAGATCATGGAGGATGTTAAATACCCATCAAAGAGCCTAGGAATTATCTGCCAGGCAGTGGGGACATGGCCCGCGAGATGGAGCACCACCACACTGGCAGCAGACGGGAAGATGAGGCAGAATGGTCAAGCTGGAGGGCAGGACCCCAAGGATGGGTGACAGCTGCTACACTGGTGCAGGCAGGAAGGTATGGAAGCTGGGCTGGCAGAGGAAGGCTGGAGAAGTGTGGAGAGACCTCAGAGATAACAGGAGTTTGAAGGGACAAGATTTGGGGACTGAATGGATGGGGATGGAAGTGAGAGGGAAAGAAGAGGTGGGAATGTGCCCAAGTTTCTGGCAGGATGCGTGATTGTCCTTTTACTTAGGTGGATGTGCACAGGCGCAGGAACAGGCACTTGCTGGGAGGAGCAAGGTAAGAAGGATGAATTGCCCAGGTTGAGCTTGTGCTGTTTCCAAAAGAGAGGCTTGGGCAGGCAGTCCTACTAGGAAGCGGTTCCACTCCCTAGACCAGGAGAGGGCTACAGGCGTGGCTGGGGCAGGCCAGGGATGCACATTGGACAGGTATTTGGGAGACCGAAGAACCAGGGTTGAGGGAGAGTCAGGGGTACCGGGGCATCTCTGCAGACAGAAGGGACCATGGTCACAGTCCTCCCAGCGGGAGGTAGGGAGACAGGGGTCACCCACCTGCTGCCCGTAGCCCAGCGCCTTGTCGTAGAGCGCGATGCCTGCCGCCAACCCTCGCGCACGCTCCTCTGGGTTGGCGCAGCCCACGTCGAAGCCGTGCGCGTAGCCCTGCTCCGCCAGGCAGCGAGCGGCGCGGAGCTGGGGGTCCCCGGCGGCTTCGGGCTCCTCCGCCAGGCCCATGAGGCCGGCCAGCCGCGCGGCGCACGCCTCCTCCTCTTCCTCCTGGCCCAGCCGTCCGTACACGTGTGCCAGATTGGCCCAGGCGTTGAGGTTGCCCGGGTGCTCGCGGGTCACCTCGAGGAAGCACTCGCGGGCCTCGTCCAGCTCCTCCAGGTAGAATGCGAAAGCGCCCAGGAGGTGACGCACGGCGGGGCGCTGCGGGGCGGCCGCCAGCTCGAGCTCCTGCCGCAGACCCTCCCGCTGCAGCTTCATGTCCCGGGCGCGCTGCGGGGCCGGCGAGTGCGGCTCGAAGTTCAACTGCATCTCCAGGTGAAAGTGGCCCGGCAGGTAGTCCAGGTCGTCGATGAGGGCGTCTAGGTCATCGGCCACAGCCTCCGGCTCCGCCATGGCTGCCCCCTCTGCTTCCTTGGTCTTGCCCTTGTGCCTGAGGCTGCGGAGGGCAGTGGATGGGGGCGTCCCCCGAGCGAGCGCCGTGCGGGAGGCGAAGGGCAGCCGGCAGAAGCCCCGGGCCCGGCAGCCTCTCGGTCTCAGGGCGCCTCCCGCAGGTGGGTGGGTCCGAGGAGTGCCCTATGGGTGTTTCCGCTTTCGCTGCTCAGCTGCTTCTAGACGCTGACATTGCACAACCAGGTGTGCCAGAAAAACAAGCGCATTGTCAAATACGAGGCGTGCAAACTTCAGTGCAAAGCAAAAGGCGTGTTTTTACTCTGCTAAGCAGGGAGGAAACTGAGGCTCAGAGGAGAAAACTGAGACTCAGAGGAGGAACAGAATTTGCCCAGATCACAGAACTGGGCGTACCCAAGTAGGTAGGCCTGGAACCCCAGGTTGCTGAAGGCCGGGCCCTTCCTCCAGGGGCGCTCCTCCGCCCTGTCTGCTTGAGCTGAGTCAGGACTGGCCAGTCTGGCTGCGGCAGCCACCCTCACTCCTGCCGCTGTCGCATCCTGTCCGCAGGTCCTCAGTGCTCTTCCTCTGAATGGAACCTGCCACCTCCCTCCTCTCTTTTTTGACCATTATTTATGAGGCTTCCTACGTGGAATTTCTCTGCGCCCTCTCTGCTCCGCAGTGAGCTCCTCTGCAAAGACTATGGGCTGCATGTGCTGGTTCTAATCCTGCTTCTCCAACCCTAATAAAGTATGACCTGCCACACTTTCATCACCTGTGACATGAGGATGACAATCTTTCCCCATTTATCAGGTAAGCCTGATAAATGGCCACTCTGGATAAATGTTAGCTCTCACTCCTCCAGCTTGGTTCCCATCCCATCCTGCACCCCACCTGTGGTCCCAGTTTTCTTGCTTTGGCCAGTGTTCCTCCCAGGTCTAGAGTGGTCCCCTAACCCCTAGCCTGGAGGCTGGCTGGCAGTGCTCCCTGCTGCAGGGGCCAGTTCCTCCCGCTCTTCCTTCCACCTGGGCCTGGCTCCTGCCATCCCTGTTGTTTCATCTTGATAAACAGATGAAAAATATATACAGGTGAAATATAGTTGGAGTATCTCTAAAGATATAGATGTAAATATTTACATTTCATGTAGATGAAATATCTATATATTTCAAGATGAACAGAGACCAGCATTTCAAAAGAGGAAATAGAGCCAATTAGGAAACTTGAAAAAAATTTGACATTAGCAAAAAAAAAAAAAAAAAAAGTTAAATTAAAACAACGTCCTGGTGCTATGTTTCACCTGTTGATTTTTAAATATAAAATTAATTTTAATAATTTTTAATTGAAAATTTTCCTATAAATTGCTGGTGATCCTGTGATGAAACTTGTTCTCTTACCTGCTTGAGAGTATCAGGGATGGATTCACAGAGGGTTTGGCTTTGAAAAAAAAAATTGCAGGCCGGGCGCAGTGGCTCATGCCTGTAATCCCAGGACTTTGGGAGGTCGAGGCAGGTGGATCACCTGAGGTCGGGAGTTTGCGACCAGCCTGACTAACATGGAGAAACCCCATCTCTACTAAAAATACAAAATTTGCCAGGCGTGGTGGTGTGTGCCTGTAATCCCAGCTACTCGGGAGGCTGAAGCAGGAGAATCGCTTGAAGCCGGGAAGTGGAGGTTGCAGTGAGTTGAGATTGTGCCACTGCACTCCAGCCTGGGCAACAAGAGCAAAAAGCACTGTCTCAAAGAAAAAAAAAATTGCGACAACGTATACTTCACAAAAAATTTAGTGTTAACCATTTTCAAGTGTACAGTTCAGTGGCATTAAGAGTATGAATGCTCCCCTGGCCTTGTCCTTGTCCCTGAGGGCACTGTTGTACCACTGTTTCCACCTTCCATCTCCAGAACTTCATCTTCCCAAATGGAAACTCCATACCCATTAAACAATAACTCCTCATTCTGTCTCCACCCAGCACCTGGTACCCACCATTCTATTTCTGTTTCAGTGAATTCAACTACTCTAGTTACCTTACATAAGTGGAATCATATAATATTTGTTCTTTTGCGACTGGCTTATTTCCCTTAGCATAATGTCTGTCTTCAAGATTCATCCATGTGGTAGCACGTGTTAGAATTTCCTTCCTTTTAAAGGCTGAAAATATTCCATTGTATGAATATATCACATTTTGTTTATCCATGTATCTGTTGATGCACACGTGTGTTGCTTCTACCTTTTGATTGTTGTGAACAATGCTGCTATGAACGTGGGCATACAAATACACATTTGAGTTCCTGCCTTTAATTCTTCTGAGTATATGCCCAGGAAAGAAATTGCTGGATCATATGGTAATTCTATGTTTCATTCTTTGAGAAACTGCCATACTCTTTTCCATAGCAGCTGGACTATTTTACTTTCCCACCAGCAATGACCAAAGCTTCCAATTTCTCTATAGCCTCTCCAACATATGTTATTTTCTATTTTTTAAAGATAATAACCATCATAATGGGTGGGTTTGGCTTTTAATTGGACTCTGAAGAAGATAAGTAAGAGTTGGGTGGGAAGGGTAGGTTGGTGGGGGGCGCATATCATCAGCAGCAAAGGTATGAAAAGGCCAGAGGCTCTCCAGGGGAGGGTGTGTCCTAGGGATAGAGTAGCCTCGTGGCTGGAGGTTTCAGAGCATGGGGCAAAGATGGCAGGAGATGAGGACTGAAGGCAGGGGCCACGGCCCCATCACAGAGGCCCAAGTCGTAGCTGAGAAGCTTGACTTGATTCCACTGACATATGAGGTGGCTCTGGAGTCTGGACGGGTTAGACAGTCTTGCAGCTAGGGAGCTCTCAAATGTCCTTATGAGTCCCATATTCATGGTATGACCCTATGCCTGATGAGATGTGACCAGGGCAAGTTATTCTCCCCATCTGAGCCTTAGTTTCCTCTTGTGTACAATGAGGGTGCAATGGTGCCTATAAAAGAAAATGGGTGAGGTGCTAGACAAGGAAGCTGCTGTGATGGGAAACTTTGGGCTGACCAGAGCAGACGGCCTTGCTGCAGAGCTGACTCACTTGGCCTGTTCTGGCCTTCCTGGCAGCCAGGACTCCCAGCCCAGTGGACCTTGGCTTATAGCCTTTCGTCATTCCTCCATGGGTCCTGGAGCCATGGGGCTCAGGCCAGAAGAGAAGCAGCAATGTAGCTGCAGGCATGTCTGGGCCACCCTGAGAATACCCGAGCAGACCCAGGGCTGGCTGAAGTGCACAGGACTGGAGAGTGTGCACATCCACACCTCACCGACACCTCAAAACAGCCTTTCCAGGAAGCTACAGTCATAGGTCCATGTCACAGAAGAGGAAATTGAAGTTGGCAAGGGTAACTTGCCCAAAGTCAACACCCAGGAAGTGGCAGAGCCAGATTTAAATGTGTCTTTGAGGATTTATGTGTTATTGGGTAGCTGGACTAGATGCATGTATTCATTCCCTTGTCATTCAGCAAATATTTCCTGAACATTTACTATGTGCTAGATGCTGCACCAGGAGGAAATGAGACAAGTGTCTGCCCTCAGGCATCTGTAAAGGTCCCTAACCAAGGGCTGGAAATGACCTCCAATTGAGCACCTGCTGTGTGCCAAGAGTATTACCTAAATCAGGTCATGTCATCCTCACAGCAGCCTGGGAGATAGAGATGATTACTTTCATTTTATAGAATGAAACCGATAATGCTGTGACTCAGAGAAAGAAGTGACTTGCTCAAGTTCCCACAGCTGGGAAGGGCAGAGTCTGCTTAGATGACCCAGGCTCTCCGTTCTGTGCATGTTCCTGAGGCCTGCCACCTCTGACCCTCAGCTCAGTGGTGCAGTGCAGATGCTCTGCCAGTGGTGGCCGTGTGCCCGCCAGGCCTGGAGCGCAAGAGTCCAGCTCTCAGCTGTGCTGGGGAGCCGCACTTCTTATTTAAATTCTAGCTTGGGATGTCAGAAGGGCATTGGGTGGGGCCTGGCAGAAGACCCACTGTGCCTCTGGTTCAGCTTCACCATGGGCTGGAAGCAGGACCTCTGGTACAACCTACACCTCTCTGGCTTCAATCCTGTCACCATGGAATGGGATATGAATCTCTGCCCCACCTTTGGGCCTAAGACCCTTGGGAAGATCACAGGCCATCGTGGGAGAAATTAGACAATCTCAGAGCATGGCTGTGGAGCACTGGTTGGGGGGTAAGGAAGGAGGGAAGAGATAACTGACTATGTCCTGGGTGGGGTCCATACCCTCAATTCCTTTCTTAGAAAGTCATCCATACGGGCCGGGCGCGGTGGCTCACGCCTGTAATTCCAGCACTTTGGGAGGCCGAGGCGGGCGGATCACGAGGTCAGGAGATCGAGACCATCCTGACTAACACTGTGAAACCCTGTCTCTACTAAAAATACAAAAAAATTAGCCGGACGTGGTGGCAGGCACCTGTAGTTCCAGCTGCTTGGGAGGCTGAGGCAGGAGAATGGCCTGAACCTGGGAGGTGGAGCTTGCAGTGAGCCGAGATCGCACCACTGCACTCCAGCCTGGGAGACAGAGCCAGACTCCATCTCAAAAAAACCAAACAAACAAAAAAAAGAAAGTCATCCATATGCTTCATTGTTGAGTTTGGAATTCTCCTCCTCCAGGAAGTCTTCCCTGACCTACCTACCCACGGGCTGGGTCAGAGGCCTCCCTCTCTCATGAACCTGACCATAGTATGTGGTCATTGCTTCCCCCATTATTTTCAGGGCAAGGACCACATCTGGGTCCCAGGCATTCTGCGCGGTGTTTGCCCAGAGTGGGTGCCAGGGACATCTAGGGGCCGATTGAATCCTGACTGCCCTTGCAGCCTTGCCCAGCCCCCCACCCTCTGGCTTGCCTTGCCCTTTCCCCCTTACTTCGGCTCCCCTGACTCCCGAAATGGAGAAGGAGCTGGGATGTCATTTGCCCAAGTCTGCCCTCTCTGTGGGCCTGTTTCCCATCAGCACAAGGTGAACATTAAAAGGTTCTTTCTGAGCCTAGGCAGGCTCCATGCAGGGCTCTGGGATAAAGCCAAAAATCAGAAATACTTCCTCAACAAATGGCTGTAAGACCCCACCCACTGGCATCCATAGTAAATACAAGAAGGGCCATTATATCTGCAGGGGCCAGGGAAGGACCCTGAAAACGTGCATGGACAAGGGAAAAATCAGCCCGCTAAGTGCGCACGCCGCTGGGGGCGCCACGTGGGCGAGGGCGCGGCCCACAGCTCCAGGGCGCATCACAAGGCCCAGGTTGCCGTGGCAGCAGCGGAGGCGGTCGGCGCTCAGGCCTGCCATGAGGGAAGGCCAGGATGCCGCGGGAGCTCGTGGCTGGAACCGCGCCGGCTCCATGGCCACTAAATGGTTCACCGGGGCGCCCTTCGGGGTGCAGAGCCACAGGTGGGGCCCATCTGCGTCCTGGGCTCACGCCCATGGTCCAAGGCAGCTGCTGCCCACCCCGAAGCCACCCTTGGCCTCGGGAGAGAGGGTGTCCACCTACACACCGGGCTGAGCCTGGCAGGGAGGGGAACCAGGGGAGGGGAGCCGGCAATGAGGAGGGGCTGGGCTTTCTCTCCCCCTCATACTTACTGCTCTTTCCTGCCCAGGGTTCTTTTACCTTCTAAGTGAGTTCTTTAAAACCATTCAAGAGCACCTACTATGTGCCAGGTTTAGAGAGGTAACATGGCCTGGTCCATAGTAGGCCACTCAGCTCAGAAGTGGTAAGTGAGATTTCAGCCCAGGTGTCTGTCTTCCATTCATTCATATTCCACTGTCTCTTTCTCTCTCTAACCTACTATGTTCCAGGCACAGTTCTAGGATCTGGGGCCACAGCAGTGAACACAACAGCAAACCCCTGTACTCACGGAGTTTGCTCTTTTCTGTGAGGGGTGGGGGTGAATAATAAACAAAAGTATGTATATCTGTAAAACGTTGGGTATTGATAAGGACTGTGGAGAAAAATGAAGCTGGGAGGAGGAGCTGATGGGTGGGGTGGGGTGGGAGTGGCCTGGAACATTCGAAACCATTGCAACTCCACTGCTTTTCTTTCATGAGCTGGCTCCAAAGTCACCTTCCTGGGCAGCCAACTCCCCCATGCTCCAGAACTGCCCATGCCAGGGCTGCGTGCCAGGCACGGGGCTCTCACTGGGCCACCGTCCCTCCCTAGGTTTGACATCTCTGCTGTTTATCCCAACCGGAAGAAGTTCAGCACCTTCACTGAGGCCCCATACTCCATGCGTTATTCTACCCAAGTGGTGAGTTTGCACAGCTTCCCTGACTCCTCCCACAGGGCCTGAGCGCGCCCCTTAGAGCTGCCTACTGTGGTGGATGAGCTGAGCTGTAGAAGGGGCGTACCTTCTACCGTCTTCTGGCACAGAGCTGGGCCCACCGTGGGGGCTTCCAGTATGTTTGATAAATGAGGGACTGCACCACTTCCAGCTTGTGCACTGACTACTTCTGGGCTCTTGAAGGCGCTATTATACCTCCCTGCAGTGATAGAGGATGTTGTGATTGCACCTTGAGTGCCAAGCCTGTTGATGCCAGCCTTGGTGCTGAGGGTGGGAGCCACAAGGGGGATTGCCTACTCCCTTCCTCCGGGTCAGGGTGGTGGCTTGGTGAGGGCCTGCTCTGTGGGTGGACTGGGTGGGCGTGACTGTCACAGCTCTGACCACACTCTGACTCAGTCCCACATAGGCCCGGGGACTTACAGCTCAAAGGAGACCTGCTTCAGCAAGAATAAGCTGATGAAGGAGGTGGACACAGGCTGGGCCAAGGCCCAGGAAGCCACGCGGCTGACCCAGCTACCCCACTTCCAGTACCAGGCCATCATGAAAGAGAAGCGGCTGCAGGTGAGGCCTCTGGGGCCATGCCTCTCCCTCTCTGGTGCCGGGTCTTCCTGTCCACTGCGGCTGCTCCGTGTGGCCTTCAGTGTCCTTCCAAGGCCAGATGGAGATTACCCTTTAAGGAATATCATCATGCCTTGGGCTTTTTCCTGTGTGGACTTTCCCAAGTTTAAGGCTTTCATTTTCTCTCTTCTCTTGGCATAGGAGCAAAAGCTGGGGCCCGGCTCCTACAACGTCAAAGACTTCTTAGAACAGCTGCGGGAGAAACCGTGTAGCACCCGGGGGCTGCTCAGCTCTGGGGAGGTTCGCTTCCGAGGACTCACTGGGGTAGGTGTTCTCATCTCTGGAGTCCCGAGCCTGGCATACATTGGGTGCTCAACAAATTCATTCACTTATGTATCCATCCGACCAGCCAGGAATAAGGATTAAGCACCTCCTAAGTGGCATACACTGTCCTAGGCCTTGGGGATCTAGCAGTGATGAAGACAAGGTCCCTGCTCTCATGAAGTAGATGTCCTAGCAGTAGAAACAGTAGTACAAAGAAGGAAGTGTAATACATATATAAGCAGGGCTATGAGCACAAATTAGACAGGGACGGGACAGGCAGTGATGGGGGTGCAATTGATAGAGTGTAGTCGTGCTCTGGGAGGAGTGACATTTGAGCAAACCTACAGGTCATGAGCAATGGAGACTTGCAATGTCTGGTAGAGCATTCCAGGCATTGGGAGCTGCAGAGGTTAAGGCCTAGAGGTGGGAACATGCTTGTTGAATCAGACTGGCAGGCCGGAGGCCAGTGTGGCCAGAGGGAGAGAGGAGGCAAGCAAGAGGGCAGAGGGCTGGGTCATGAGGACCCTGCAGCCAAGGTGGGGCCTTGGTGTTATTCCAGGTGCTGCCAGAGGGCAGTGGAGGGCTTTGACAGGAGGAGGACCTGATTTACCTTTTTAGAGGAATACCCTCGTGAGGGCCAGGATTTGGAGGAGGCGATGGTGCTGAGAGGTGGGGGTGGCAGCGCCAGGGGATGATGATCCCATCAGGAGGACACTGAGTGAGGCTGACACTCAGTAAGGGCATGAGGGAGAAGGCAGGAGTCACCCCCTACTGAGGGAGTCAGGGCTGCAGTTTGTTGGCCTCGACCTCTCTGTGCTGGACACTCTGTTATCCTTCTCCCAGCGCCTCACATAGGCCATGCTCTTTCACATGGTTTGCCCCTGCTCTTCCCTCTGCTAGGAATGCCCTTCCTCCCTTGGCAGCCTGTTCTCCTTGGGCACACCTACTCATCCCGAGGCTCTCAGCTTCCAGAAGCTTCCCTCAGCCCCGCTAGGTGGTGTCTCCCTTCCTAGGAGTCTCCACTGTGGTTGTGTGTTTAGCGTCCCTTCCCCACTGGACAGCAGCCCCTGAGGGCAGACCATGTCAGCCTGGTTCCTTCACTGCAGCATTCTGAGTTTCTAGCAGTGCCTGGCACACACAGGCCCCCAAAAGTATTTGTGGACTGAATAAGTGCATGCATCCTGAGTATCAGGTGCTCCAAAACATTCTCTCTAATTCTTTGCAACCACTCCAGATGAGGCCCTGGAGGCTCAGAGAAGATAAGCAAATTGCCCCAGGATGCACAGCTGCCAAGTGGGCAAGCTGGGATGCAGACATGGGAATGTGCAACCCCAGAGCCAGGGTCTTTCTCCTACACCTCGCCACTGGGAATGCTTCTATGAAGGCTGGAAATTACTCCTGACATGGTCTGGGGATGAGCAGATGCATCTTTAGATCTTACAGCATCTTCAGAAGCTGTAACTGTAACTTAGGGAGAGGGGATACCTGGAGCATTTGAAAATGTCATTACCATCCAATCTAAAGTAATAACAGTGGACATGTAGCATAGCACTTACCACGTACTAATTAATTTCATATTTATGACAACCCTATGATTATGTCCATTCTACAGATGAGAAAAATGGAGTACAGATTGGTTAAGTAACCTACTGCCCAAGGTCATGAAGCTATCAACTGGCAGAAGCAGGCTTTTGAATCCCAGGTGTCCAACATCTACCTTGCATTTCATCCACAGGCTTGGCCCCTATAGTTCTTGGACTTTGCTCCCTGTGTCTCTTTGGAGGCCAGGGCCTGGGTGTGGGAACTTAGCCGAGATGATGGCAGGAGAGCTAGGGGGACAAGCATGACTCTATTTCCTTCCTGCCTTTGCTCTTTTTGAGTGGGGGACCTTCCCACCTTCCCTCATACTTGTCTTTTGGGGATCCTTCTCATTTTTCAAAGTCCAGCCTGAAAAACAAAACAAAACAAAACTTAAAAGTGATGATTCATTCATTTCCACACTCCCCCTCTTCAATTAATCATTCCTGTTTGAATCCCCAAAGCTCAGACAACATAACATTCTAGTTAAAACTATAGACTTTCCCATCAGCCCAAGTGTGATGCTGAACCTCTGAACCTGAAGGTTTTAAGGAAGAAATGGGATTATCTTGACAAAGTGCCCAGTGCTGGGCTTGCCTCTGGGCTCCAGGAGCAGGGCCATTTTCACCCTTGGTATAACCCTCATCTTCAAAGTCTCCCAGGTCCTATGGTGCTCACTGCCCACCCACCCCAGTGCTTTCCACAGAGCCCGGCAAACAGTAGAGGCTCAGAAAGGTTATGGATTTTGGAGCTGAAACTCTCATGCTGTCTCTTTCTGGAGGTGGGACCTGACACATACAGTTTGCCTCTCTGAGACTCAGTTTCCCCATCTGTTAATTGTGGATGGTGCTGACTTGGTCTCCCCTAGTCACTGCCAGGACCAAGATGTTAAGGCTTGTGAAGCACCTAACACACCATTCCGGGATCCAGCTATTCTCGGGGGCTTTCTCCAGAACATACATGGGAACCCGGGAAGGAGACATGTAGTCCCATTCCTCTGGGAGCAAACAAATCTGATGCCCTTAGTGACCTGACTCCCCATGCAGAGGTCCCTGCCCTCCCCGCCCCATCCTGCTTCCCCAGGGCCAGGTTCCAGGCTCAGAGGTAGGGCACAGCCGAGCCATCTATGGAGCAGCAGTGCCCCCGCGTGGCTAAAAGGTGCAGAGCAGCAGAAAGCATTCTGCCAGGTGGACTGCTCTCTTCACTCGGCCTACAAAATCACCCTTTTGACCCTGGCAGCCCAGGTCCCAGACGGTCATTCCAACCAGTTCCTAACCTCTCCTCCTGTCCCTCAAGACATTCAGCCACCCCACCCTATCGTGTGTCAGTGTCCACTCTGTGCCAGACACTGTTGCCTGTGAGCCTCCACTACTGCTCGTACCTTTGCTTCCAAGCTCAGCCTCTTCTCCAGGGCCCTACTGGCCCATCCATGCTATGTCTCACTGCCTCTTCCCTGCATCCCACACTCTGACATGGTGGGCCCCTCGCTGCTCTCCAAACACATGCCATTCCGCCCAACCTCCTTCCCTTGCTTGCAGACAGTATGTAACTTCATCGTCATTACCTGGAAGAAAGTATTCCTATCCCATGGTACCAGTATGGACCATGAGACTCAGAAGGCCCAAGGTCACTCAGCTAGGAGGCAGCAGAGCCAGGATCTGAACCCAGAATGGGAGTCCTTCCCTGTCACAGCGCTGTTCACAGCACATTGAGAGAGCCCTCATGTCACGCAGGGCTGTGGTGCAGGGGTGTGAAGGTTGGAATTGCCGAATCCACTGAAGCAGGCAACTATCTCAGGTGGTAGTGGGAGGAAGACTTCATTCCTAGGAGAGATGACATTTGAGCTGGCTTTGCAGAAGCAGTAGAACTGTCCAAGGCAAAGAGGGCAGGAAGGGCATTCCGGGTGGTGGTTACAGCATGAGCCAATGAGGGAAGAAGGTTGGGCAGAGTGGCATGTGCTTGAGAAGCAGCAAGAAGCCCGCTATGTTGGCCAAAACGTGCAATGTAAGGAGGAAGCAGTGAGATATAACTTGGTCAGGCCAGTGGAGCCCTGGGGAAGAGGCTGAACTTGGAGGTGAAGGTGTGAGCAGTGGTGGACGCTCACGGGAAACAATGCTGTGTGTTGGAGGGCGGGTAGCAAGTGGGCACCCTGAAAATCCCATTCCCTTCTTGGGGATGGCAATCTCAGGTGTTTGTTCCTCAGGCACAAGGAGTGGTTCTGACAGCCTCTATGCCCCCACCCCCGCCCCACAGAACTACTATCCAGGCCCTGGAAATTATGGGGAGAAGGGCAACCCATACACCAAGCTGGAGGAGAATGCCTGGAACCGGTCCCATTCCGAGGGCCTCATGTGCAGGATGAGCAACAAGCCGGACCCCCGGCCTCATCAGGTACCCCCTTGGCTGGCCAGGCCTTGCCTGCCTTCCCATCCTGCAGGGGCACTCCCAGGGCAGAGGGGGAAGCTGAGCTCTCCTGCAGGCCTCATCACCTCTGCTGTGCTCTAGGGGAGTGGTCTGGGACCCGGCACCTACTCCTTCAAAAGTGACCTTGAGACATACGTGGCACGATCCGTCGGCACCCGCGGCCCCTATGACACTTTTTCTGGTGATCGGAGCAAGCCACTGCCTTATGGGCACTACTCCATGCAGGTGTGTACCTGGGGTGGTGGAGGGTGTTAGTCCATGCCCCTGCAGGATGACAGGCCTCACTAGTCAGCACCAGGAACACCAGCTTGTGCGCCAGGCTCTACATCGGGCTGTTCCCACACCCCCTCACTTCACTCTCACAGCCAGGGCCAGATCTGGCTTCCCATGTTAGGCAGGGAAAACTGAGGCTGGCCACCCAGCTGGAAGGAACAGAGCTGGGATTTGAACCCAAGGACATCTGTCTGACTTCACTGTCAGCTCTCTCCTCTGCACTGGCATGAAGTGCCCAGGAGGTGAAGATGGCCCACAGTGCCAGGGGAGCTTGGTCATGAGGAACCTTGATGGCACAAGGTGGGGGCGTCCTCCTATTTTGGAAACGGCAGGCATTATAGACCAAGCTGGCTGGGTTAGTGCCAGTGCTGTTAACAAAGCAGAGAACACGAGGCCCAGGAGGGGAAATTGAGGTACAATTTTATCTTGATGGCCTCCTTTCCCACCCCCGTCAAGTCCCTGTGATGTGATCTCACAGTGCCACAAAGCTTGCTTTGTGCTCATGGCCACTGGAATTAAGTTTTGTCTAATTGCCTGTTTATCTTGTCTCCATTACGCATTCTCGCAGTGGGTATGATTAAGTCAGGTAGTAGGCGAGGTGCAGGGGAAAGCAGCCCTTGCGGAACTTACATTCTAGTGAGGAAAGAAACTCAGTCATCAATAAATAAGAAAACAATTCTCGAGTGTGAGCAGGCAATGAGTGCTATGGCAGAGCTCAGGAGCGCTTAGGAGGGTGGAGGTTAACGTAGAAGGACCTCAGGACCAGCTGGCAGGTAGCCACTGAGCTCTCAGCCTTCGACCTGGCTGCTCCCTGGAGCCCCCCAGACCTCCCCATGACCAGCTATGGCAGGGGTCAAGGGACCCTCCTCAGGCACTGTGGCCAGTGCCCATTCTGACTGGCCAGTGCCCAGGCTACGCTGTTTGCTTTTGTTTGTTAGAATTTTTTTTTTTTTTTTTTAAGATCAGTTTCAGGTTCACAGCAAAATTGAGTGGAAAGTATAAGGAGTTCCCATGTACCCACTGCCCTCCCCATACCACGCACAGCCTCCCCCACCATCGACATCCCACAGCAGCCTGGTCCGTTTGCTGCAGTTGAAGAACCTACACTGATACATCATTATCGCTGCAAGTCCGTGGCATACCTTAGGATTCACTCACGTGGTGGACATCCTGTGGGTTTCGCCAAATGTGTGACATGCAGCTGCCATTTTAGTATCATACAGAATAGTTTCACTGCCCCCCAAATCCTCTGTGCTCCTCCAGTCACTCTGGTTTTAAATATTTAAGACATCATTCCTGCTTAGAACGGTGCCAGACTCAATACATGTCCAACAAATGAAAGAAAGAAGAAATGGGTGAAAAGGAGCTGGGCAGTAGGGTGTGGCAGGTGCATGGTGCAAGAGACTAACACTGCCCCAACCCGCTGGTTGGGGGAAGACTATTTCACCAGCCCAGGTCAGGGGGGCCTCGAGGCTGGCCTGACCTCCGGGATGTCTGCACAGCAGGATAGTAAGTGATGCCCCAATGCTTTTCTCTGGTTGCGGGGGAGGGTTGAGAAAGGAGCTCTGATTTTCCTGGCATAACAGATTCCTTTTACTCTCCTTTTCTCAGAAAAAAAAGCCCAGGGAACTGATGAATTTCAAGAGCTTCGTAGAAGAACTTAACTCACGTCACAACAAGAAGCATGGGGTTTTTTCTAAACTTCCCCGCAACCCAAAAATCCCTACAGAGAGGATTTACTGGGCCAGCCTCAGCCAGTGCCCCCGCACGCTGGTGAGTTCGCTCCTGTGGCTGGCCTTCCTCTCTCGGAGGGCAGCTCTCCTTCCAGGGCTGGGCATGGGGTAGTGTGCCTTATTTCATGGGGAATAACTCAGTCTTGGGATCAGACTGACTTGGTTTCCAATCCTGGTCCTGCACGTTGGGACACTTTAGGTGAGACCTTGTTCGGGCCTCGGTTTACACCCCTGTCCTATGAAGATGGTGAAGTGGTTGTGAGAATTATCTGGGGCCCTGTACTCGGAGCCTACAGCATGGTGCCTGGTACCCAGGAAGCACCCAGCCAGTGCCAACCTTCCCCCTGCGCCTCCCTCCTCTGGCCTCAGAGCACTGGCGGATGGGCAGGGGAAACTGGAGCAGGGCAGAGTACAGTCTACCCACTGGAGGGCCTGCCCACCTGCTCCACCCAAGGGAGTGGTGTGCTGGGCCCTGGTGTTAAAGCAGTCCTCTGGGGGTCTGAGCAGGCCCCCAAAGCAGGGTCTGCCCCTGCTAGGCATTTTACAGCCCGTCTGAGGTAGGAATTATCATTTGCATTTCACTAAAGGAAACTGAAGCCCAGATCTGGAAAGGAAGTTGCCAAGTTCCCCCAGCAAGGGTGAGAAGGGGCTGGGATTGGAACCCAGCTCATCTGGCTCCAAGTCTGCTTGGAACTTGGAGTGGTGTGGTGTGGTGTGGTCTCCTTCCTCAGAAGTGGGGTCTTCAGCTCTCTGGGCCTCACCAGACAATGAAGACCCTTGGGCACCTAAAAAGAGGCATCAGGCTGTGATGGATGTTTGTTAGAGTGGGTGGCATGGGTCATGAGAGCCCTCTTGCTCAGAGGTAGCTGGGTACCTCCACCATCCTTGGCTCAAGACCCAGGCTGCTGGATGCATGGAGTCAGCTGGCCAGAGTCCTCACCTGCCCTGGGCCCAGGCTGACACTGCCAGAGCCTCTTCAGATTTCAGCCTTCCTTCCTTACTTGTAGGCCACATCTGGCCCCAGTTTCTGGCTTCCACAAGAGAAGAAATGCAAATCCGTCAACCAGCCCCCATTCCTGTTGACCTCCAAGGGGTCAGGCGCAAAGTCCTCTCAGATGATTATGGGAAGCTGGGTGAGTGGGTCTGGGGTGAGGGATACATGGGAACTGTCTCCCGCCTCTATAGCCAACACCAAAGCCTCTTTGTCCCCAGGTAACTGATGCTTTGAGTGAGCCATATGCCTCCCCTTTCTTTTCCCCAAGGGACCTGAGGTCCACTCCCACTGTCTTATTTTCCTAAGGCATTGGTTCTCAAACTTGAACTGATAGTAGCCTCACCTGCAGAACTTGTTAAAACCCAGATGGCTGGGCTCCATGCCAGAGCTTCTGGTACAGTAGGCCTGGGTTGGGACATGGGAATTTGCATTTCCAACAAGTTCAGGTGATGGGGATGATGCTATTCCAGGGACCACACTTTGAGAGCTAAGAAACATCCCACTGCAACCATGCCATTCTAGAGAAATGCTCCTTCCATTCTCTGTGTTTTTCTTGGGCCTCGGGGCAGCTGGTGAAGCTGGTGCATTTCCTGTCCCTCGCTGAGCAAGACCCCCTTCTGTCCCCTTCCCTTTCCCACTCTCTTCCTCATATCCAGAGGCAGCCATCCCCAAGTGTGCAATGTAATCTTTAGTTAGTGTTCTTGTAAACCAGCTAAATTCTTGGCCTTGGGCTTTGACCTCATTCTGTTTCTTACTCCACCCCTCTTCAGTTTGTAAATGCACCTTTTATTGGAATCTAATAATCGTAGAGAAAGGCACTGAGTCCTAAGTGCACAGCTCCATGAATTACCACATGATGGCCATAACTACCTCCCAGAATATTTAACAGCTCTTATTTCCAGTACCCCAAGAATCCCTGCCATTCCCACCCCCACCCCCAATTAGATAGCCTGTTATCCTGACTGACTTCCAGTAGCACAGGTCAGCCACCTCACCTCCTTACCTTCCCACACGGTAGCAAGGTCCTCAGCGTGCCCAGACCCCAGTGACCAATTCTTGTGAGGACCGGCTGGTTGTCCCTGAATCCTTCCTTTTTCCACCTCTAGCCTGCACCCCCTGCAGGGGAGAAAGTCTTTACCTGAGAGCCCCCAAGTGAAATGTTTAGACCAGAGCCAGATGACCCTGCTGCTACCACAGAGCCAGCCCCTGTGAAGTGGGAAGGGCTGATGTGAGGTCTGGGTTCTGGAGGCTCAGTTGGCCACACCCCACAGGGTGGGAGAGCCCCTCTACTTGTACCCCCGAAACCTGGGCGCCTCATGAAACAGGCTTCTCCCTTGTAGGAGGCAACTTCTGTTTAGCACGGGACTAGCTCCTGGGTTCTAACATCTCCCCAGCCCACCCCTCAGGACTGCTCCGCAGATGGCTGGGTTCTTGTCCTGCCTTTATTCTGCCCTTGCCGTGTTACCTTGGGCAAGTTACATCTCCTTTCCCAATCTCTCTGTTGGTGCCTCTAAGATCTGTGACACCGATATCTGGGTGGGATGCTGTATTCCCTTCCTAGAGCTGCCACAAACTAGGTGACTTAAAGCAACAGAAATATTCTCTGACAGTTCTGGAGGCGAGAAGTCTGAAATCAAGGCGTCTGCAGGTCCGCGCTCCCTCTGAAACCTATTGAGAAGAATCCTTCCTTCTTTGTAGCTTCTGGTGGTGGCCAGCAATCCTTGATGTTCCTTGGCTTGTAGTCATCACTCCAATCTGTATCCTGGCATGGCTGTCTTCCCGTGTGTCTCTTCTTCAAAGGACACCAGTCACATTGGATGAAGGGCCTACCTTACTGCAGTATGACTTAATCTTAACTAATTATGTCTGTAGCAACCTTATTTCCAAATAAGGTCACATTCTGAGGTACTGTGGTTGCTCGGGGTTGAGACCTCAACTATCTTTTTGGGGGACACAATTCAATTCATAACAGATAAAATAGGGAAGCGTCCGAGGGGAGGAGAGGAAGCCGAGACACAGTCTCCAAGCCAGGCTTGCTAATGTCCTGCCATCCTCTCCCTGTTGTAGAACCCAGTAGGTGTGGGCCGCTACCTCAACACCTGGCTGATGGAGACAAAGGACAGGCGGCAGCGATACCGGTCCCTATTCCTGGGTGGATCCAAACGCTACCTCTCAGACCTGGCCCGGGACATGCTTATGCAGTGAGTGCAGCTGGAGCTGCAGGCGAAGGGGTGAGGGTGGTGGTGGGTTCTTACTCTGGGGTGGATTAGTAGCTCCCCATGTTTGGTTCCCATGGGAACACAGCTTCTGCCCCTAATGCCAGCCAAATAGCAGAGGCAGTGGAGGGATGTTCACATTCAGATCCTGGCTCTGCCACTTACTGGATGTGTGAGGTTGGGCATGCTGCATCATTTCGCTGAGCCTCATTTCCTTTAGCTGTCAAAAGAGCAGATATTTGAGGAGACCCAAATGAAATGATCTGCTGAAAACCCTTGGTAAGGAAAAGGTACTCAATCGACCCTAAATATACCATTTGGAGCCCACACAGTCCAGTCTTGGCTCTCAGTGGCTTCACCACGTGGAATCTGTTTCTTGGTGTTCATAATGGGGGTTGCTAAAACTCATTTCAGGAGGTTGCAAAGCCTAAGAAGGGAAAAGTACATTAAATACTGTGGCAAACTATACAACAGCTTGTAAATGTTAGCTGCTGCCATATTTTATTGACCTAAGAGGCCATCAATTGCAATATAATAACAATTTCAGAAATGTTACAATGTTGACAAACATGCGCTTTAGAATCCAGTGTTTTTTTTTTTTGAAATTATGGTGAGGACATGAGGACCAGATTCTGAGGACAAGATTTCTTAGGAGAAATCAGCTTTTAAATGTAATTTCAAAAAATATTTTATTTTTTATCAAAGTTGTGCTGTGTCTTCCTCGTTCTCAACTTACCCCCTTGTTTTGGTGGGTTCCTGAGAAAGGGCCAAGGAAGGTAAGATTTTTGATAGAATGTATGCCTGAAAAAGTTTATTTTTCCTTTCTGCATATCTGATCAATAGTTTGGTTGGAAATAAAATTCTAGGTTGGATATAATTTTCCCTCTGAATTTTGCAGGCCTTTCGTAGCCTCCTAGCTTCAAATATGGTTGTTGAGAAGTCTTATGCCATTCTGGTTTTCCGTGCTGTGTATGTGACCTGCATTTTCCTTCCTGGAAGCTTTCAGGATCTTCTCTTTGTACTTCCTGTTCTGATGCGTCTTGGCATGGGTCTGTTTCATCCTTTGTGCTGGGTACTTAGTGGGTTCCCTCCATCTGGAGACTCAGCACCTTCTATTCTGAGAGAGTCTTTTGAGTTTTGTCTTTGACGATTTCCTCTCCTCTGTGTTCTCTCTGCTGCTTTTCAGATATCTCTTTTAGATGAATGTTAGATGCCCTGGTTTGGCACCCTAGTTTTCTTACCTTTTTTTCCCTCTCCTTTCTTATTTTCCATCTTACCTTTCTGTTCTACTTTCTGGTAAAATTTTCTTGTCCTTATCTACCCTACTATTACTTTTAAAATTTTGGCTATCATATTTTTTCGTTTCCAAGAGTTCTTTTGTTGTGGATTGCTCTTTTCTTTCTTCTTTTAATAGCACCCAGTTCTGTGTCATGTATGCAGTGTGCAGTATGTTCTTTTTTTTTCTTTTAAGATGAGGTCTCACTCTGACTCCCAGCCTGGAGCACAGTGATGCAATCTTGGCTCACTGCAATCTCTGCCTCGCAGGCTCAAGCGATTCTCCTGCCTCAGCCTCCCAAGTAGCTGGGATTACAGGCATGCACCATCACGCCCGGCTAATTTTTGTATTTTTTGTAGAGGCCAGGCTTCGTCATGTTGCCCAGGCTGGTCTGGAACTCCTGAGCTCAAGCAATCTGCCCGTCTCAGCCTCCCAAAGTGCTGGGATTACAAGTGTGAGCCACTGTGCCTGGCTGCAGTATGTTCTTTTATCTAAGGATGTTAATTAAGTTTTCCTGAAGTTCTTTTGCCCTCCTGTGTTGTCTCCAGTTCTTTCAAGTTTCTTTCTTTCTTTTGCTTGTTTGTTCATATTGAAGAGGAAAGCACTAAATAATACTGTGAGTCTGGGTGGGGCCTGTCAGTTGCTGTGAGTGATTGGCAGTGGATCTGGTCTTTCTGTTGAGACCCTCAAATGCCAGTGTCTCTAGGTATTTTCTGTGGGACTATTCAGCTTCTCTAGAAAATAATCCTCTGTCCTGGGTGGGGGTAACTGTGGTTGCTGGTGATTAGAGGAAGGAGACAGGGCTGTCTCATTCAGCGTATGGACTGCCTCCTACCCCCTCTCTTCTCATTGTGGGACCTGTCTGCCTACATTCCACTGTGCGCCTCCTCCTAGCCCCCTGGAATCTATCCACAAACCAAACCTCCAGTCTACTGCTGACTGGGTGAGGAGTCAGCGGGAGGTCGTGTCTAGATGGGATCTTATTCTGTTACCCAGGCGGGAGTGTAGTAGCACAATCATAGCTCACAGCAGCCTAGAACTTCTGAGCCAAAGCAATCCTCACCTTTGTCTCCCATGTAGCTGCAACTATAGGTGTGTGCCACCATGTCTGGCTACTTTTTTATTTTTGTAGAGACAGAGTCTCACTATGTTGCCCAGGCTTGTCTTGGGCTCAGGCTATCCTACCACTGTGACCTCCCAAAGTACTGAGATTATTGACATGATCTTCTATGTCTGGCCTCACCTGTTTTTTAAGATACCTGTGCGTCCCATTCCTAGATCTTTCTGAGGTTTTGTGGCAGGAGTTGGCAAGTGTCTCCCCAGTTTTCCCTATCCTTCCTTCCTTCCTTCCTTCCTTCCTTCCTTCCTTCCTTCCTTCCTTCCTTCCTTCCTTCCTTCCTTCCTCCCTTCCCTCCTTCCTCCCTTCCCTCCCTCCCTCCTTTTTCTCTCTTTCTTTCTTTCTCTTTCTTTCTTGCCTTCTTTCTTTCTTTCCTTTCTTTCCTCCTTCCTTCCTTCCTCTTTCTCTTTTCTTTCTTTCTTCTTTTCTTCCTTTCTTTCTTCCTTTTCTTTCGCGGTTGACGGGCTGACGGGGCGACGACGACGACGGCGGCGGCGGCGGCAACGACAGCAACGGCAAACGGCAACTTATGCATTTAACCATTCATGTAACCTTAACCATTTCAGCCTTCCTTCTTTTTCCTTCCTTCTTTTCTTTCTTTCTTCTTTTCTTCCTTTCTTTCTTCCTTTTCTTTCTTTCTCCTTCTTTCCTTCCTCTCTTTCTCTTTCCTTCCTTCCTTCCTTCTTTCCTTCCTTCCCCCCTCCCTCCCTATTTCTTTCTTTCTCTTTCTTTTTCTTTGTTTCTGTCTTTCTTTCTCTTCCTTCCTTCTCTTCTTTTTTCTTTTCTTTCTTTTCCTTTTCTTCTTTCTTTCTTTCTCCCTCTCCCTTCCCTCCTTCCTTCCCTCCCTCCCTCCTTTCTTTCTCTCTTTCTTTCTTGCCTTCTTTCTTTCCTTTCTTCCTTCCTTCCTCTCTCTTTTCTTTCTTTCTTTTCTTCCTTTCTTCCTTTTCTTTCTTTCTCCTTCTTTCCTTCCTCTCTTCTTCCTTCCTTCCTTCCCCCCTCCCTCCCTCTTTCTCTTTCTTTCTTTCTTTCCTCCTTTCTCTTTCTTTCTTTCTTTCTTTCTTTCTTTCTTTCTTTCTTTCTTTCTTTTTTCTTTCTTTCTTTCGTCTTTCTGTCTTTCTCTTCCTTCCTTCTCTTCTCTTCTTTTTCTTTTCTTCTTTCTTTCTTTCTCCCTCTCCCTTCCTTCCTTCCTCCTTCCCTCCCTCCCTCCCTCCCTTCCTGCCTTCCTTCCTTCCCTCCTTCTGCCTTTCTTTCTCTTTCTTTCTGTCTCTCTCCCTTACCCTTCCCTTCCCCTCCCTCCCTCCCTCCCTCCCTCCCTCCCTTCCTTCCTTCCTTCCTTCCTTCCTTCCCTTTTCTCCTTTCTTTCTCTCTCTTCTTTTCCTTTTTTACAGTGCAGTGGTATGAACACAGCTCACTGCAACCTTGACTTCTCAGGCTCAAGCGATTCCCCAGCCTCACTCTCCCTAGTAGCTGGAACCACAGGTGTGCACCAGCGTGCCTGGCTAATTTAAAAAGTTATTATTATTATTTTTTTTTTGTAGAGACAGGGTCTCACTATGTTGCTAAGGTTGGTCTCAAACTCCTGGCTTCAAGTGGTCCTCCCACCTTGGCCTCTCAAAGTGCTGAGATTACAGATGTGAGCCACCACGCCTGGCCTATTTTTAGTTTTAAAAAGAAACTTCCATACTGTTTTCCATAATGGCTGTTATAATTTACATTTCCACCAAAAGCATGTAAGAGCTCCCTTTTCTCCACATCCTTGCCAGCATTTGTTACTTTTTGTCTTTTGATAGTAGCCATCTTAACTGGGGTGAGATGATATCCCTCAATTGGGGTTTTGATTTGCATTTCCCTGATGATTTGTGATGTCAAGTATTTTTTCATATACCTGTTGAGCATTTGTATGTTTTCTTTTGAGAAATGCCTACTCATGTCCTTTGCCTACTTTTTTTGTTTGTTTGTTTGAGATGGAGTCTCACTCTGTCACCCAGGCTGAAGTGCAGTGGCGTGATCTTGGCTCACTGCAACCTCCACCTTCTGGGTTCAAGTGATTCTCTTGCCTCTGCCTCCTGAGTAGCTGGGATTACAGGTGTACACCATCACCCCTGGCTAATTTTTGTATTTTTAGTAGAGACGGGGTTTCACCATGTTGGCCAGGCTGGTCTTGAACTCCTGACCTCAGGTGATCCACCCGCCTTGGCCCTCCAAAGTGCTCAGATTATAGGCATGAGCCACTGCACCCACCCTGCCCACTTTTTAAACGGGATTATTATTATTATTGCTGTTGAGTTCCTTGAACATTCTGGATATAAGTTTCTTGTCTGATGAATAGTTTGCAAACATTTTCTCCTATTCTACACGTTGTCTCTTCACGCTATTGTTTCTTTTGATGTGCAGAAGCTTTTTAGTTTAATATAGTCCCATTTGTGTATTTTTGTTTTTGTTGCTTGTGCTTTTGAAGTCTTAGTCATAAAGTTGTTGTCTAGAACAATGTCCTAAAGTTTTTCCCTTATGTTTTATTCTAGTAGTTTTACAATTTTGGGTCTGACATTTAAGTCTTCAATCAATTTTGAGTTGATTTTTGTATATAGTAAG